CCTAGACCCTGGTAGACCCTGGTAGACCCTAGACCCTGGTAGACCCTAGACCCTGGTAGAAACTAGTAGAAAGTGAATTATTTTGTAACTCAGTGTTTTTGAATTATTTTGTAATTCATTTACGTCATGGTCTCATTTTCTCAAAAGTATTAGTCGTATCCAATTCGAATATGTTGAAATATTGAAAATACAAAGTAAAAAACCGTGATTCCGTCACGCTTGGACAGGTCGTATTATAAATATGAAACTATTTTTGTGGAACTCACATATATTTTCGAAGAAAATAGTGAGTTTCAGTTTTAATTTCAAGGTTCCATGGCTCCATCCTCTCCCCTCTCCCCCTCCCTTCTTCCTCTACAAACATACCCCCATTACAGACCGTGGCAACTTCGTCAAAAAAAGAAATTTCTGTTCGAAATATAGAGATAAAAAAGACAGCATTTTTCTAATAATCGATTATCTTCAGAAAAGAACTATTATCTTTTGTAGATTTTAAATATTGAGTACTTTGTGATTAGTTTAATGAAACCAAAGAAGATATGTGAGTTTCACATTTCAGCCCCAAAGGGAGTGCATTAACCAGCTTTTTTTAAAGAAATTTCATTTTGAAGTTGTTTTTAGTATCAATTTAAGTTATAGAAATAGCTTTTCAGATACATGACCAATGACTCTCCATAAGTCTTTTTTTTCTTTCATCAAGTACAACAGATAGATGAATGTGCACATTAGAATGTTGCTGTTTAGTCTCATTTCAAAAGGAAATCTCATCTGTGGAAAAAACCGAAGATTTGTACTAGACATAGAAGTATATTAATTCAAGTTCTTTTTTTCGATCCTAGCAAGATGTTACAAGAATGAATAATCGTATCAAATTAAATGAAAAATATGAGTAGCAGATTCAATATGAACAATTTCGATGTACTTGATTACAACAAAGCAGATATAAATAATGAGTTGCGTTCATTACAAAAATAAAGCGTGGCAAAAGTATATTGATGATCTTAATTTATGGTCTTTAGAGAAGATTTAAGCAAAAGATGACCTGATCTAGATAGAGCTCGTCATGATTTCTAGAATACGATGCTATTTTAGAACCAAATTATGAAATCTGAAACGAATATAACTTTTATTTGTTTGTGTATAGAACAGAGTTTTCAATAACACAAAAGGGTTCTCAGATAAAACCAGCGGGTGTGGGTGTCAGTGTAATGAAAGGCAACACCCATACCCACCCCCATCTCCACACTCAAACCTACATTCACCCATACCCACACCCACACACGCCTACATGACTGTTGCAAGATGGATTCGCTGGTTCCGCGAAGGTCGAGAAGAGATGAAAGATGAAGCGCGACCAGAAAGACCAGTACCCGAGACGACTGATGAAAATATCGAACAAATTAGCGACGCTATTGATGACGACTCTTATGTGACAATCGAGGAGCTGCAAGAAAATACTGGTCTGAACCCTGAGACTATTCACAGAATAATCTCGGATCATTTGAAACTCAAAAAACTTACCGCTCGGTATATACCCAAAGACCTGACCGCTTCCCAACGGGCTGAACGAGTTCGAATACGTAAAGTAGATTTAGCAAAATTCGAACAATGAATGTGAAGATTATGCGATGTGGTGACGGGGGATGACTCTCGGTTTTATCATAAACAAATCAATCAAAAAGCATGGAATGTTATTTGGGTGGCAATGGGAGATCCTCCGTCGACAATTGTTCGACGCAGTCGTTTTGCTCCGAGAACGTCATTATGCATTTTTTTAAGTCAACAGACCCCGTTTTTGCCCGTCATATTGAATCTAGGCAGACTATCGATCACCAATATTACATAGAAAATTGTTTGCAGCCCGTCATCTACGAAATCAAGAGCCAAAGGTCTTCATCTGGAATATATGCTGTGAAAATTCACTATGACAATGCTAGACCGCATATACGTAGAGCCTTGTCGCGTTATCTGGAATCAGAAAGGTTCACGATAGTACCACATCCCTACAGTTCTCTAGAACTAGAACCTCGTGACCTCTGGTTATTCGACTTGATCAAACAAAACATATGCGATCCAAGCGATTCCGACTCGTTACATCGTGTTGTGATGGATTTCATGTACTCTTTGGATAAAAAAGAGTATAAAAACAACATTTGATATATGGATCGAACGGATGAAACTGTGTGTGAATAATGAAGGAGATTACTTTGAGCATTTAATGAAATATAACCTTAATGAAAATTCTTTTGTGTCTTTTATCTGTGATGACCATCCGATGTCTATCCTAATGTATAACGACGCATGAGCATAGAAAAGATAAGAAAGAAAGAAGCAGAAGAAAGAAAAAAATTAAGAAGCGAGTACATATCGATGATTATATGTAGTGCCGTAGCCAAAACGAATTTTATGAAAACTTTCCTATCATAATATTAACTACTGTATGATCAAATAGCTTAGAAAGATAGAGCTTTTTTCCATCGTTTCATACGAAAAGAAACTCTCCTTCAGCTTACTGTAAAGAATTAAAGCGTCACACTCACTACTTTTGGGCTGACTTAAGTAATTTTATTTTTCTCGAAAAATTCTATTTTGATATCATGTCAAATACAAGATTCAGTGTTCAAATCGTTTCTCAGTCGTCTTGATTTCTATAAATAATTCGTTTGCCGACAGGTTGCATTGGTCGATAAACTTTTCGTATCACATTGTTGCGAAGTAAATTTAAGTCTTCTTCTAATATTGGAATTATGCCAAGGAATATTGTCCATATGATACCTTCGGCGCACGACAGTGTTGTCAAACTACCCATATAACGAAAAAAACTGCTTGCCATCCATATTCATCAATTGACTCAAATTGAACACACAATCGACAGTATCTCTAATATTTGTCAATTTGCTTGCAGCAGTTGAATACAACTTCCATTCAGCATTTTCCTCGGCAGATGACTCAGCAATGTCAAAGAAAAATGCAAATACAGCAGTTTCTCCAGTTTCACGATTCTTATGAACGAAATGTGCTTCAGCTGGAAATGTGTTCCTGTCGATTTCATGTTCGGATCCATGCCTATCATTTCTACCCCAATGCAAATGAAAATTAACGAAATGAAATTTATCAGCCAAGCCGCCATCTTTTACCCACAAATCAGCTTGAGCTTCATTTTCAGTGTCTTGATTCAATGTGACAGCCACCTGATGACCATTGTTTGTCAGTGTGAACAATGTTGGAGTCATGTAATCGGGAGAAAATACAAACGGTGGATACTGTTGAGCGACGGTTTCATTCGAATCTATATTGATCGGTGATTGACAGGAGGCGCAGGCAGATGGAAAATGTTTAGATCATTCAGACGGGGTGTGGGTGGGTGTGGGTGTGAGTGTGGGTGTAGGTGTGTGGTGTGAGTGTGGGTGTGGGTGTGGGTGTGGGTGTGGGTGTAGGTGTGTGGTGTGAGTGTTGATGTGGGTGTGGGTGTGGGTGTGGGTGTGGATGTTGATTCTATTCACACCGATACTCACAGCCACATCCACCCAACCCACACCCATACTCACACCCCATCCACACCCACACCTACACCCAGTAAGAAAACTCTGTAATTACTTCTGTGACAGTAAAGATTCCACTTTCCTTGTCAGATTCTTTGCGATTATGGTGACGAGTGCAATCTAAAGATCCTAGTCGATTAGCTGTAATGTCGAAACCCATGTAGCTCCGAAAAACTACATCCATGCCTAGATCTATTATATTCGAACCCGTACCCGAAAAACAAAAATTGTATCGTACCACTTTGACAAATTCAATATGGTGCTTAGTTCTACTTTCGAGTAGAGCTCCATAGATAAATCGTTCATACGAATACTTGCCACTTGAAAAGATTTTCGAATAAAATCGAAATTCTACGACTATTGTGATAGTTTAACATACTCACACCCACACCTGACAAGGTCCTTTGCCAGAGTGAAACACTTCGTGTTAGCTTCACTTGATAAATTGTTGTCATTGTATAAGATTTATCAATTCTCAACGCATCTTCGTACTCCAAAAAAAGCTAAACAAAACATTAGTAGCACTAAATAAAAGTTAGAAATAGTGAAACAATAAAAAAAAACTCAAGTTAGCAGTGGAAATATTAACAAGTCTGTAAAAAAGTTTTGAAATTGTCAGCACCTTCATTGGCGACGACGAAATCCAACTTTCCATCATTGTCTAAATCACCAACGGAAATCGAGAACGGAAGAGATCCATAACCGGTCGAAAAAAACTTTATACTTGCGAAGGAACCATTCCCATATCCGAGCAACACACCTACGTTATTTGTGCCATAATTAGCAACAATAATGTCTAGCAAAGTGTCGTTGTTGAAATCGAAAACGCCAACCTCGGCCGGTTGAGAGCTAATACCGGTCGTAAACGTTTTTTGGCTTGAAAAAGAACCGTTACCCAATCCAAGAAATACACCAACAGTGTCATTACCATGATTCGCGACAACAATATCAAGTATAGTATCGTTGTTGAAATCACCAACAGCTACCGAACACGGAGAAGAATCTGTGAAATATGCCATTTGGCTTCCGAAAGAACCATTGTCATATCTCAGAAAGATACCGATGTTGTTAATGCCTGAATTCGCAACTGCAATATCTATTTGACCGTCATTGTTAAAATCTCCAATGGCGAATGACCTAGGTCGAGATCCATTGCCTGTTATGAGCCTCATTTGGTTTAGCAAACCTTCATTGGGATATCCAAGAAATACACTAACACTGACCGCATTCACATTAGTGACGACGATATCTAGTCGGGTGTCGTTATTAAAATCACCAACAACTACAGATGAAGGATTAAAGCCAGTTCTATATGTCCTTTGATTTGCAAAAAAGCCATTGCCATATCCAAGAAAAACACTTATAGTGTTGTCTTTGAAATTAGTGGCGACGATATCCAGTCGAGTGTCATTATTCAAGTCACTAACAGCTACGGAGTTTGGGCCTGAGCCAGTAGAATATATTGTTTGATTTACAAAAGAGCCGTCGCCATTTCCAAGAAGGATACTTACAGTATTGGCAACATAATTAGCAACGACGATATCCAGTTGGGTATCGTTATTAAAATCACCAATAGCTACAGATTGTGGGTTAGAGCCAGTTATATATGTCGATTGTTCTGCAAAAGAGCCATTTCCATATCCGAGAAGTACACTTACAGTATTGTCACCATAATTAGCGACGATGATATCCAGTTGAGAATCGTTGTTCAAGTCAGCAACAGTCACAGACCATGGTTTAGAGCCGGTTGAATATGTCGTTTGATTTGCAAAAGAGCCACCACCATATCCAAGAAGGATACTTATAGTGCTGTTATCATAATTGGCGACGACGATATCCAGTCGGGTGTCATTATTAAAATCGCCAACAGTTACAGACCATGGTTTAGAGCCAGTTGAATATGTCGTCTGATTTGCGAAAGAGCCATTTCCATACCCGAGAAAGACACTTGCAGTGGTACTATTAGAATTAACGATGACGATATCCAATAGGGTGTCGTTGTTAAAATCGTCAACAGTTACAGACCGTGGAGAAGAGCCAGTTGAATATGTTGTTTGATTGGAAAAAGAGCCGTTGCCGTATCCGAGAAGGACACTTATAGTGTTGTCGTATCCGTTAGCCGTGACAATATCCAAATAGGTGTCGTTATTAAAATCGCCAATGGCTAACGATCTTGGCCACATGCCTGTTAAATATGTTATTTGATGACCGAAAGATCCGATGCTGTGTGTAACAAGTACATCCACATGATCGATGCCATCATATGCGACCATAATTTCTGAACATCCATCTTTGTTGAAACTACCAGCACCAACAACCAATGGAGCGAAATCGAAATCTACACTATAGCTTGCTTGATTTTCAAATGTTCCGTTCCCATTGCCCAGAAATGTAACAAGATTTTTAGTACCATAATTGGCCACGGCTATATCTGCTTGACCATCTCTATTGAAATCCTGGATAGCAATTGAATAAGGATGAGAACGTAAGCCTGTTGAGAGCATCATTTGATTTCCAAAAGTGCCATTTCCATGTCCAAGAAGGACACCTATGTTATTCGTACCATAATTGACAACGGCGATATCCAATAGGCTGTCGTTATTGAAATCAAAAATAGCAAAGCTTCGCAAACGAGAACCTTCGCCAGGTGCAAATATAATTTTGTCTTTCAGAGCTCCTCTGTCATACCGAAGTAGTATACTAACAGTGTTGTCATGAAAATTAGTAACGACGATATCCAGTCGGGTGTCGTTGTTAAAGTCACCAACAGCTACAGATAGTCCACCAGCACCAGTTGAATATGTCGTTTGATTTGCAAAAGAACCGTTACCATAGCCGAGAAGTACACTTACATTGTTGTCACCCCAATTAGTGACGACAATATCCAGTAGGGTGTCGTTATTAAAATCACCAACAGCTACAGCGTATGGCCCAGAACCAGTTGAATATGTTGTCTGATTTGCAAAAGAGCCATTTCCATATCCAAGAAGGACACTTACAGTGTTATCAAGCTTATTAGCGACGACGATATCCAATCGAGTGTCGTTGTTAAAATCGCTAACAACTACAGAATATGGCCTGATCCCAGTAGAATATGTCATTTGATTTGCAAAAGAGCCATTTCCATGTCCCAAAAGTATACTTACAGTGTTGCCATAATAATTAACGACGACAATATCCAATTGGGTGTCATTGTTAAAATCACCTACAGCTACAGAGTATGCCCTGAGGCCAGTTGGATAGATGGTCTGATTTGCAAAAGAACCATTTCCATATCCAATAAGTATACTTACACTGTTGCCAAAGTCATTAGCGACGACGATATCCGATAGAGTGTCGTTGTTAAAATCACTAACAGCTATAGCGTCAGGCCCAGAGCCGGTTGAATATGTCGTTTGATTTGCAAAAGAGCCATTTCCATATCCAAGAAGAACACTTACAGTGCTGTCATGATAATTAGCGACGACGATATCCAGTTTGGTGTCGTTATTAAAATTACCAACAGCTACAACGAGTGGCCAAGAGCCAGCTGAATATTTCGTCTGATTTGCAAAAGAGCCATTTCCATATCCGAGAAAAACACTTATAGAATTGTTGCCTCGGTTAGCGACAACGATATCTAGTCGAGCGTCGTTATTAAAATCACCAACAGCTACAAATGCTGGCGTGGTACCAGTTGAATATGTCGTTTGAATTGGAAAAAACTCGTCATAGCCAATCATGATACCTACAGTACTTGTATCATTATTGATGATGACAATGTCTAAACGACTATCCCTGTTTAAATCACCTATGGCAATGGCAATTGATGAAAAAGATCCGGTTGAATATGTTTTCGGACTTGTAAAAGTGCCGTTGCCATATCCGACAAGCAGAGCTATATTGTCGGTGCCACTATTGGTTACGACTAAATCCATTCGATTGTCGTTGTTGAAGTCACCAATGCCAATAGAATATGGAGAAGCAGTGCCGAGCGAATATGTCATTTGTCTCATAAAAGTTCCATTACCTTTGCCCAGAAGTACGCCTACGCTATTATTTCCATAATTCGTGAGGGCAATATCTAACATGGTGTCTTCATTTAAATGACCAACAGCAATAGAGTATGGGTGAGAAGCGGGACCAGTTGAGAAAGTGCTTTGTTTTTCAAAAGTGCCGTTATTAGTTCCTAGGAGTATACCGACGTTGTTTGTGCCATAATTAGCGATAGCAAGATCCATCTGTTTGTCGTTGTTAAAATCGCCACTGACAACGGCAAACGGAAAAGAATCATAGCCTGTAGAGTATGTGTCGGGCATTGAAAAGTTTCCATTTCCATGTCCATAAAATACATTTACACTATGTGTGCCGTAGTTAGCAGTGACAATATCTAGTGCTGCGTCATTGTTAAGATCTGCTACATGGATCCAAATAGGACGAGATGATGCAATTGAAAGTACTATTTCGCTTGCAAAAGACCTATTTTGGAATCTAAAAAGTATACCGACGCTATTTCTACCGAAATATGCGACGGCGACATCCAGTCGATGATCGTTGTCAAAATCACCAACGGCGACCATGTATGGAGCAGAGCCAGAACCAGTGAAATACTCGACTGGACTTGCCACAGTACCATTGCCATATCCAAAATATATGGCAATACGATCAGCAGCATAATTGGCAACAGCTATATCTAGCCAAGTATCGTTGTTGAAGTCGCCTAGGGCTACAGATTGTGGACCATACTTATAGTCAATTGAATTTCGAGCCGTCGCATTAAAATTAAGTTTACATTTTGGGACTAAGTAACACAAAAAGACAAAAGTGAAGACTGATAAATTATTGTCTGTTTAAAATAATAATGGTCGTGGCCATTTTTGCAATAACTCAAGAAACAAAAGAGCTAGGGAGCTGCAGTTTTCACCAGTGGAAAGAGACGACACTAGGGCATCTTTTTCTCCAATAGTGTAAAAGACGAAATCATTTTAAAATCAAACGTTTTTGGTGTATGGGTGGGTGTGGGTGTGGGTGTGAGGTGTGTGGGTGTGGATGTGGGTGTGGGTGAGTGTGGGATGTAGATGTGGGTGTGGTTATCATCTAAGGGACTACTTGTACCACACCCACCCACACTCACAGCCCACACTCACACCCACACCCACACCCATACCCACACCCACACCCACACCCACACTCACACCCACATCCACATCCTATTTCTGGATGATTCATCTAAGAATTTGTGCAGAATTTGCTGCTCTTTCAAATGAGGCTATTTATAGGCAGGCGAAGAGATGTTTTCACAAACTTATTGTTAATATGCAGCCATCTGAATGCAGTAAAAATATAGTACAGCAATCGGCATCAGAAGCCATTGAGTCATTTACTGAATAGTTTGAATCTGGTATCAAATGATTTATCGTTCTGTTCTGTATCAAAATATGTACTTCTTTTGAGAGTTCTGAAGTCAACCGATTTGTCTTCTTTATACGCCTCTCTTTGGATTCCTCGACTCTATATACATTTGTTTGAAATGGGAAATCAACGCCTTTAACATTATAAAACGAACCTAGATCGATTTTTAAAGATTTTTGTGATAGGTTGAGGAACTGAGTTGCAGACGCAGATGTATGAGTTCACAGAAGAGAAACCATCTACTTTTTACACACTAACACTCACTAAGATAGTGATGCGTCGATGCTGATAGTAAGAGATCTCCTAACTCTTGTCTATCTTATTCATTATCATAATTCAATGTGGTTTCTTTTTCAAATGTATGAGATGTTGATTCGAAAATATAATCCAAACATTTATAGAGATTAAATATAATTTGCTCTATCCTAGAACTGATTGAAGTAGTGAATTACAGGATAATTTACCTAATGTCAGGTTTAATAATAATTTCAAGATATCGTGAGGAGTACTCATTTTTATTATCGAGATATGCACTTAGTATCTGTTCATTTTCTGAAGATGGTCGACCACTAACCAGCTATTAGTCAAATAAAACTATTATTTTATGACGTATGTACAAAGTTTTATTGTTTTAAAGAATGGTAACGAAAAGAATTCACTAGAATGTAATAAAGAAATGACAACACATTGGATACTATGAGAGGGAACACACATGAGCCATACATAAAGATATATACAAAAACAAACCCAAGATAAGCTGCTGTTTTCATTCAGAGATGTGTAAGGGTATCACCAAAAACAATAGAAGAAGTGATTCAAGAACATTGAGTAAGCTAAAGGTGATCTTTCTGCAACAAGTAATAATGCATAAGATCAGTTTGTAAAAATTCAGGTCGTGAAATTATTCTTTTATTGAGATATGAAAAAAAATGATAGAAAACGCAATAATCTCTGTCTTAGAGAAACTTATTATCTTTGTTTCTCTCGAGCAAAGCGGCAATGGGATGACTCTTTCTGGAATTATTTTCTAATCAATAATTTCGACCAATAAAAGTAAAGTAGAAGGGTTCAACTTTTGGACAAAGTATCAGATCTAATGGTTATGATCATCTTGGTCAAATTTGCTTCGAACATGTCGATATGAAATATTATCACAATCTGAGTCTTGTTAAACAAAACTCACCATACTGGTAAAACATAATCGAATGAACTGTGGATTGTTATCTTATGAAACACGAAGAGTAAAAAAAAACAAGGACATACCCAATCGTTTTGGTGATGTAAAACAAACTACTAGTATACCAATGATCGTAGCCATAGTTGCGAGCATAGGTAATAGGAAGACAGGTCTGCTGCTTTTTTCAAATATTGAACAGCAACAAAATTTCCTAGGAAAGAGCAACAAGGACCATATTTTACATCAAAAGATAAACTTCATGCATATTTTGTTGAATCGTCGAATTTTTCATTCGATTGATGGTGTTGTTCTGAATGTTTGTGACATTTTGTATATCTGAAATTGGATTTATCTTCTTGTTTCCATCGACGAAATCATCCTCTTTTGGAGGTGAGCAATCGACCGATTTAGTGTTATCATCCATAGAAACCATTTTAATCTACAAGAACGCAGCAGTAAAGAGGCAACACATATTGGATATGAGCATATAAGCATACCACTAACCTTTGGGGTGGGGGGGGGGGGGGAAGGTTCTAAAGAAAACTGTGGATGCATTAGTTTTGCCTAATTCATTCAGTCGATATACGTATTAGCTTTCAACTTTGTTGTTCAATCTCAATAATTTTTCAACTATGATATGTGTTTTAAATGTTGAGGAGATTGAACAAGTTTTTTTGGGGATAAACTTATAGCTGATCAAAACACTGGCACGAGTACTGCAGTATATTAAAACGATTATAAAAGCTACTTTTTCGAATGTTTATTTGACCAGCTAACACTTATTTAGTATTTGTTGATTATTACCAAAACTAATACGCATTATTTTTTCTCTTTTCAATTCTTTTGCATGAATACTTGGAGATCTAAGATCTTAGACATGTTTTCTAGCCATATTTTTTAAAACAGTCAACAGAGCAACTTCAGATCTCTCGAGTCTAGGCCAGGGCACCACAATTACTATGTTTAGGGATGTGGTTTGGGCGAGCAAAAATGTCATGGATCGTTAACAAAGGAAGAGCACATCGAAAGTTTGTTGACCACATGTCGACCTTTACAAAAAAAGTCATCGAAATGCGTCGCGTCGGAACCTTGTCTATTGCTTTTGAATGAACTTTGGAAAAAAAAGGATGTGAAAAGTATCCAAATGTAGAAAGTTTTTCCTTCGTTAGGAAATGTGAGATTTTCTCTGGGCTTCACACAGCAGAGTATGAGTATTTTCGTTGTAAGCCATTTCTAGTTTTGTCTAAGTTTTCATGTACTTGCGTGAAATGTATTTGTTCAACACTTGAAGATTATGAACTGATAATTTTTTGACAAAACTATATCTCACCGAGATAAAATAGTCTAAGACAATTCGTATTTTTCTTCACCTCTCTCCTTCAGTTACGATTATTTTGGTTACTCTGTTAAATGACGTGAAAATAGCAGTAGGATCAAATGATCGAGTTTATAGTTGCAATAATGTTCATTCATAGATATCAATGACAACGTTTAGCTGAAACATTGTAAATCATATCAATTGTTCAGCAGTGTCACATATCCAAGATTTTGAAGATGCCACCACGTCTTCCGCGGGAGATGCCGCATTTCGCGTGAGAGATGCGGGTGTGGGTGTAGAGGATGCGCATATCTAATGGAGATCTTACATCTCCAGTGGTGAATGACCATATCTCTCGAGTGTGGGTGTCGTGTCTCCCGCTGGAGACGCGGCATCTCCCACGGGAGATGTGGTGGCATCTCCAAAATCTTGGATATGTGACACTACT